GTAGTAGTAGTAGTAGGAGGTAGAAGTAGTAGAAGTAGTAGAAGTAGTAGAAGAAGAAATTAAGTGGTAGTAGAAGTAGTCGAAGTAGCAGCAGCAGGACTAAGCAGCAGCAGCAGCAGCAGCAGCAGCAGCTGCTGAAATAGTAGCGATAATAAAGTTAATGATAGGCACCCCCTACCAATTACACTTTCTCTTACTAGTAACCAAGTTAAGACAACATCAATTTTACTCGGTATTATTTACAGCACTTTCGTCGCACAGGATCACTCAAAATCGACTGGTCGAGTTTGCAAACTCGAGGTTCGGATTTCCTTCTTTTTGTTGGGGGAGTGTGTGCGCAACAGTGTCGTGATCATCCCGAAAGGCTTCCCCCCACCCAATTTCGCGTTTGCAGACTGTTGTCTTCATGTACAGCTTGCCTAGTGTGTCCTTCCCAGACCTGCTTCCTTCTGAGATCTTCTGTTCCAGTTAATGCCGTCTTGCCCTGCGGACACTTGGCTGACTTGTCCGCAGCGCGGCCGAACTGCTACCCAAAGAATGGTCAAAGTGTCGCACACCTCACGAGAACCGCGTGTTACAGAAGGATTCATGATACCGTCTCCCCTCCCAACCTGAACTCAGATGAGAAACCTACCCAAACACTCTCTGACACCCAGCGCACCGATTCCAAAGCCGGCTTAAATGTCGTATCCATGGCTGCTCGAAAGGACTGTTGATTACTATTGCCGCGAGGACTGCTGTAGGTGTTGAACATTCTTTGCAGTGCTTGCAACGGCACGTGTCTGCACAATGTCCTCGATATCTGCCTAATGGCTGCTCGGCAATGAGCATAAAGACGGGCCGTGCTGGAGACCTCGTGCCTCATGCCGGCACCAACTCTCCCAGCATGTGCCGCGGGAGGTACTCTAGTCGGGCATCTGAAATCAAGCACGGGCAAAGAGGAGACCCTAAAAACCCTAAACCCTGAACCGTTCGTAGCGTCGTGGCTTCGTTTTTGGGCCAAAGCTGGATCCTTGTATGCCATCAGAGGGAAGCCTTTGGCTCCCAGTCTCACCTCACCCCTCGTTGTGGGCCTGGCAATTAAGCTCAGGCACCGAAACTTCAGACTCTGAAGTCAGAAGATCAAGAGCCATGCAACAATGCCCCAAACCTGGCATATTGAGCATGAGAAAACGAAAATCGTGCACCAGGCCATGCACGACGCAGGGCTCCCACCCAAAATGTCCTTTCAGGAACTGAGAAAATCGGTGGGTCCCATAACTCTACACCTTCTGCGAATCCTGTGCATAAGAACATGCAAGGCCGAAATCGAAGCGAGCAAATAACAGTCACATAGTGTCTTAGCGAACCTCAGCTTCGAGCCTTCACGGGGCGTTAGAGTACTCAGTGAGAGTGGCCATGCTCGTCCAACTGCCCATTGGCTGAACACGTGGCATGCTCGTGACCCTGGTAAACCCAAGTCATGATGGCCACCCCGATAATGAAGGGCACCAGTCGCTTTATGGACTCGATTGGGCTTATCCTCTTTGTGCTGGCGGAACCATGTTCGTGGATGTGGGCAACCGCAGGTCCCAGCTCAGTGATTGCGATGTACAGGAAGGTGCCACCGCCCGCAGCCATGAACCACCCTTTTGTCGCACTGCTCATGTCAACTCCGAAGCCGACCAGGGCTCCGACCAAGGCCGTCGCCCCCGACAGTACATTCAGGATCACGGCAACAACCCAATGAAACTTGGCTTCCGTGACCAGTACGATGAAGTCTGCGATTTCCTGTGGCAACTCGTGCAGGATCAGCGGGACCACAAGCCCCCAGGCCACACTCCGGTCGCAGGTCCTGAAAGCGAGTCCTAGCATGAAACCATCCGTCACGTTGTGCAAACCATCGCCAAGAAGGATCGGCCCTGCAATCGACAGGCGGTTCCGCTTTGCGGCCTTGTCATCTTCCTCCGATGCAGCTGTCATTTCGACCTCCTTCACCGGCGATACGTGGTTCTCCTCCACTTTTGGTGGAAAAGCCAGGGAGGTGATGTGGTCGATCACGGCGCCGAACAGCCAGCCGGAGATCACAGCGATGCCCCACATGGTCGTGGCCTCCTTCTCCGTCACCCCCACAGCGAGATAGTGCAAGGCCTCCGGCAAAAGGATAAAGGAACTCGTCCCCAACACAACGCCAGAAGCGAAGCTCTTCACCGGCACCTCGAAGACCTCTTTGAAAGTCTCCGCCCTCTTGATGCACGCGCCCATCAACACGAAGATGCCCAGCAATGTCGGCAGCATCGTGACAAGCGATGCACCCATGGCCTCACCGATACCTCCAAATTCAGCCCCCGCCACGGCGTCGCTGTGGTCGTCGTGATCATCGTGGGAGTCACCGTCGTGGGAGTGCGTGGTGCCGTCGTCGTGCGTGTGAGCGTGACATTGGGCCAGCAAGCCGAGCCCCACCACAGCCAACACGGTGAAATGCCTCATGGCTTCGATGTTCGGAGCAAAGGATCCTACAGAATTCTGAAAACCAGAGAACCGGGTGACGTGCAAGATGCCCAACATGCAGCGGAACACAAGTCGATAAAGGACACCTGCGTCGTTGCTCTCAGTGCGGTCGGCACTGGAGCAGCTCTTTTGCTTTTGACCTGCACTGTCGTATCGCGGGCCCGGATCTATGGCCCGACAGGTCTGCCACCACCGCGGGATTCACTTAAAGCGCCAAGACCGAGCTGCTGCAGCCATGGGCTTTGAACACTCTCTTGCTCTGTGAAGTTCTGAGTTTACAGGACTTGCGAATTCAATGTCGCAGGCAGAAGCCAGGCAGAGGGCAATTAGCCCCGAGTCTTTAGCGAAGCTTCGTCAAGTCCGACACACAAAGCAGCGCAGAGCCAGGGGCCTGGCAATTAAGCTCAGGCACCGACACTTCAGACTCTGAAGTCAGAAGATCAAGAGCCATGCAACAATGCCCCAAACCTGGCATATTGAGCATGAGAAAACGAAAATCGTGCACCAGGCCATGCACGACGCAGGGCTCCCACCCAAAATGTCCTTTCAGGAACTGAGAAACTCGGTGGGTCCCATAACTCTACACCTTCTGCGAATCCTGTGCATAAGAACATGCAAGGCCGAAATCGAAGCGAGCAAACAACAGTCACTTAGTGTCTTAGCGAACCTCAGCTTCGAGCCTTCACGGGGCGTTAGAGTACTCAGTGAGAGTGGCCATGCTCGTCCAACTGCCCATTAGCTGAACACGTGGCGTGCTCGTGACCCTGGTAAACCCAAGTCATGATGGCCACCCCGATAATGAAGGGCACCAGTCGCTTTATGGACTCGATTGGGCTTATCCTCTTTGTGCTGGCGGAACCATGTTCGTGGATGTGGGCAACCGCAGGTCCCAGCTCAGTCATTGCGATGTACAGGAAGGTGCCACCGCCCGCAGCCAGGAACCACCCTTTTGCTGCACTGCTCATGTCAACCTCGAAGCCGACCATTGCTCCGACCAAGGCCGTCGCCCCCGACAGTACATTCAGGATCAAGGCAACAACCCAATGAAACTTGGCTTCCGTGACCAGGACGATGAAATCTGCGATTTCCTGTGGCAACTCGTGCAGGATCAGCGGGACCACAAGCCCCCAGGCCACGCTCCGGTCGCAGGTCCTGAAGGTGAGTCCTAGCATGAAACCATCAGTCAAGTTGTGCAAACCATCGCCAAGAAGGATCGGCCCCGCAATCGACAGGCGGTTCCGCTTTGCGGCCTTGACATCTTCCTCCGCTGCAGGTGCCATTTCGACCTCCTTCACCGGCGATACGTGGTTCTCCTCCACTTTCGGTGGAAAAGCCAGGGAGGTGATGTGGTCGATCACGGCGCCGAACAGCCAGCCGGAGATCACAGCGATGCCCCACATAGTCGTGGCCTCCTTCTCCGTCACCCCCACAGCGAGATAGTGCAAGGCCTCCGGCAAAAGGATAAAGGAAGTCGTCCCCAATACAACGCCAGAAGCGAAGCTCTTCACCGGCACCTCGAAGACCTCTTTAAAATTCTCCGCCCTCTGGATGCACGCGCCCATCAACACGAAGATGCCCAGCAATGTCGGCAGCATCGTGACAAGCGATGCACCCATGGCCTCACCGATACCTCCAAATTCAGCCCCCGCCACGGCGTCGCTTTGGTCGTCGTGATCATCGTGGGAGTCACCGTCGTGGGAGTGCGTGGTGCCGTCGTCGTGCGTGTGAGCGCGACATTGGGCCAGCAAGCCGAGCCCCACCACAGCCAACACGGTGACATGCCTCATGGCTTCAATGTTCGGAGCAAAGGATCCTACAGAATTCTGAAAACCAGAGAATCGGGTGACGTGCAAGATGCCCAACATGCAGCTGAACACAAGTCGATAAAGGACACCTGCGTCGTTGCTCTCAGTGCAGTCGGCACTGGAGCAGCTCTTTTGCTTTTGACCTGCACTGTCGTATCGCGGGCCCGGATCTATGGCCCGACAGGTCTGCCACCACCGCGGGATTCACTTAAAGCGCCAAGACCGAGCTGCTGCAGCCATGGGCTTTGAACACTCTCTTGCTCTGTGAATTTCTGAGTTTACAGGACTTGCGAATTCAATGTCGCAGGCAGAAGCCAGGCAGAGGGCAATTAGCCCCGAGTCTTTAGCAAAGCTTCGTCAAGGTCGACACACAAAAACAGCGCAGAGCTAGGGGCCTTGGCTTACTTAGGCCTTGGCATGTGCATGAGAGCAAAATCAAGTTGCCTTCAGCAGCTCAGCACCGCTGCACGGGCACAAAATCGTCGGAGGTTTCACCTCCTCCAGGGCCGAAGCCGATTTCAAGGCCAGCTGCCGCCGAGACACGGGGCAAGCTGGTGCCTTCAGGCCGCGTCTCCGAGTGTGAGCAGGCGAGGCCGGATCGCCGTCCTGGCATGGGAGTTGGAAGCCTAGGCTTAGAAAAACCTAAACCCTAAACCCTAAACAAGACAGTTTGTAGCCGAGTCTCACAGAGCTCCAAGGCCAGCTTGGCCAAGGACTTGCCGAGCACGTAAGAGCCGATCTGAGAAAAGTGCAGGCCGTCCGGATCCCACATCAGCGGATCTTCGTGGCTCAAGATGATGCTGGGATCCATGTAGGTCAGGTGCTGGGACAAGCCCTGGAAAGCCATCTCCATGTCCTGAAACGGTGCAGGGTCGGCACTATATCTGTAGCTCTGTAGCTCAAGTTCGCCTGTGCAGCTAGCCCGCCTCTAGCAGCACCCGGCGATTGCTGCACCATGATGCGTCTCCAACAGGTGCTAAGGTGGAGCCATCGCAATGGTTGGTATTCCACGCCTTGCGAGTACAAGCGCGTGCTGGCACGACACGCTCAGGTGTTCCGGACGGCTGGGTATGTCAGGACGGCAGCCAAGTGACACCCTGCAAAAGGGAATGTCTCTGTGGTGCTGAGGATACCAGCACCAGCTGACATCCGCCAGCAACACTGCACGCCAAGCTGTTACACCTAGGCCTACGCTGTCCTGCGCTCTTATATCCTTCTCCGCAGTTTGCAGAAAAGATCCCTCGGGCAGGCCTGTGGCACACTTGGTGCAGTGCTCGGAGATTAGCTGCAGCATGTTTGCGCCTCGGTAGGTAGTCGAAACTCCACAGCTTCTCCTTCTACATGATTTCTATGCAGGTCCTGTTTAGTTGACCGTGCAATAACGCGCAATAGTTAGCCGGACAGTCATCCGGGGAATCCGAAACACCAAACCGGGCCCGACCTCGAAGCGAAGGGCAGGTCGTTCGTTCCTGCCATCAGCATCACCTCTGAATCATGTACTATACTTTGCTTTACTCTCTTATACTTAATTTTGTTATGTTATACTTCATGTTATACTTCACTATACTACATTATACCGTAATTATATCATACTATACCATGCTATACCATTTTTGAAGCACCTTTCCTGTGGAAGCTACCTGCTCCTCGTTCAGGCTGGAGTATTCGAGTGTCGTGCAGCAAGAGCTCCTGCCTTTGGGTCCCCTCGACAGGAGCGCTGCTTGCACATGGAACGGTGGAGTCTTGGGGCTTGGATTCAGTAGTACTCGTCTACGACTGCGAGTTAGCACGGCCCTGCATCTGAAGCCTTCACAGTCAGGCCCCCTTAACTCCCTGCGGAATAAACAACACCGGATGTAGTTATGCTGAATTCAGAGAGCCACGCATGGGAATCGGGAAATCACGTGAGCTGGTTGTGAGCCGGAAGTGCTTCAAAACCAGCGAGCTAGTCCCAAGACCATCGAGGTTTGGTTGCAATGCGCAGACAGTATTGCCACCGCTCTCCTGCGTTCCATGTTACTTGAGCGCGGAGGCTTCGTGATTGCAGCAGGCCAGGTTCAGGTGCAGCAGTGACGATAATGGACCCTAAATCCTCAGCCCTAAACCCTAAACAAAACTCTAGATCGAAAAAAACCCTAGGCCTCACAAGCCCAGGTCGCGAGATCAAACGGGCCATCTTCCTCCAATGTGCGAGCCAGGCCCTGCAGCCGCGGAAGCTGAGTTTCGGGGCCTATCCCACCCGTCAATGTCACTGAACCGGCTCAAGCTCATCCTAAACAGCTGACCTCTCATGCCAAGCATTCTTGCCATGATCGTGCTGGCAATCACACTCGGACGATAACAGCAACTTTGCCAACAGTTAAAACTAATGAGCACAGCAATGACCCATACCCAGAGTGGTAGATACTTACAACTGATAACAAGGTAGCAAAGAGTGCAAGGGTCGTACTCGTTGTACCGTATGGAGCCGTACTTACAGCAGGACGGACATACGATGGCCTTCCATGGTATACCACACTGGTCCACGAGGCTGGCATTGACCCCCAGGAGCATCTCTTCCGCAGATTTGCCAGTGAGTCCGCAGACCGCGACATGGCCTCAGCGCACGTTGCTGCTTACATCAATGTGTTGCTGCTAGCATCATTGTTACCCATTGTTCACAATCCTGCGATTATTAGGGTTCACTGTTGTACTAACTCTGCAGGAACTCAAACTTGCAGCTCCTGCTACTCCTCCTGCTTGCTACCCTTACTGCTACTGCTGCTGCTGCTGCACTACTGTAAATTAGGTCTGCTAGCGCTGCCTGCTGCACGCCCTCCAGCCCTGCTAAAGCAGAGCCCTGCTTCCGAAACACACGGCCATTCATCATCGTTAACCCCATCACTACCACTGTTTTTCTACCAATCGTCCCTTCGCAGTCTTAACTAGCTCTTGATATCTTCAATGCACTGCTCGCCCTACTCTTGATTTTAGCACGACTTCTGATTGTGCAGCAAGGAGCTTGTCACGCCATATGCTGCCATTTCGTTCGCCAGGGCTCGTCCATACGGCTGGAACCATTGGCCGCCAGAGTAGAAGCCTGAAACATTGGTCCCGTACATGCATCCGGCTGAACTGGGCCTTCCAGGTAACTATCTCGTCCTTCATGTCCTGGATCTGCTTAGTAGCGCTCCCGATGCTGGTCACACAAGAATGCTGAAGCAAGGTCCGAGACCAACACCCGTCCTATCTCCCAATCAACGACCCTGCATCAGCAAAGCACTATCTCCAACCTGCGGTCAGACTGTCGCCGTAGCAAAGCACACGATGTGTCACGTGGCCACTTCCGGCAGTGAAGACCAGCGGCGCCCTTAGCAACAAACACTTCAAGTCTGCACTGGTGCGGGCCTGTCACTGTCAGGTTGACTGCCGGCTTTAGGATCCAGGTCGCTTGGAGGATGCCGTCTGCATGCCGGCTGGATGCGTCGGTAGGAACGCAAGGAGAGATGGAAACAATCGGAGTTGAGCAGAGCTTTGTCACGAATCGCAGGAGTCTTTCTCGGGCCGTGCTTTGAAAAGTGTCAATCTGGAGCTCCGACTCTGACCCGGCATGAAACATGTGTCGAGATGGCTCTGTTCAACTCCGAACCTACCTTCTGACCAGCAACGGCTTGAAGACAGCAAAGCATTCAGATTTTTTCGCTTGACTGCGCAATGAAAGCTTCGTCACACATCAACCACACAGCAAAGGGTGCATGTTTGAAACAGTGCTGCAATCCTGGGTTTTTTCAGCTTCACGAGTTTCCCCGACTGTCTCAGCTTCAACCTGATGACCATGGCATCGCCATGCATCACTCCCAGCACTGCCCTTTCCTCCTGGGGCATCACCACATCACCACCACAATTTCTGATGTGACATGCGGCATGGAGAGTTTGCTGAACGAGTTCTAGACTAAGCCGAAGGAAAGGCAGGCCACCAAGAGTCCTTCCTAGCACACGAAACCGATTTCCGATTTATTTCCTCTCTTCATGGAGGCGCTGTACGGGTGACACTGTCCAAGATCGAGATCAGTACCTGGCACTCAGCAGAGGCCTCACCACGGTACTTCAAGCCTGGCTGCAGGCACGCACAACCCTCTTCCCGGCCTGCCTACGCACAGGAAGCGCAATCTGGAGGACAAGGAAAAGCTGGTTCAAGAGTTGGCTAGACGGAAGAGTTTGATGAGACAACTCAGGGCTACCACCACATTCGCTCTCACAGGCTGCTTAGCCTTGCCTGTCACACATGCTCTCATTCCGTTTTTCGTGCACTCTCGAGGCATCTCCAGGCCAAAGGTTTCATATCAGCCAAGTCGGAATCTGCCGGGTGCTCGCGTAAATGGCAAGCCCCGAAAGGGGGGAATGAAAAGCCTTGAAATGCTTTACTTCAGCCGAACCTGCGAAACTGGCCATGCTTCTAAACCAGCCATGTTCACCATCCTTAAACCCTAAACCATCAGTTCCCCTAAAACCCGAAACCTCGCGAAGCTCGGCCCTTCATCTGCGACAAAACGCACTCGAATTGCCTGCAGCACAAGATATCTCGGCTTCAAGGCTCTGTGCTCTGTCAACTTCTGCCGAGAAGAGGCCAATCTCGTGCCACAAGCGTTGTGAAAATCGATACCGCTGTCCACGCCCGCACACATATCTTCGACGTCCCTGCCCCAGTCTGCTCTCTTGTACCGCCGTGCTACAGTTTTCCAACGAAAGCCAATTGGGCAAGGCCAGCAGTTGAGTCTCTGCCACAGGACGGCACTTCAAGTTGCCGACCCAGGATTACAACCCTCATAGAAAAGCTAGCGTAGTCTAGGTACGACGGGGTCAAGCACAGCTTCCTGCACCAGCAGCAGCTCTTCTCAAGCAAGCAGACCCTAAACCCTATTCAAGAAACCTCGTAAGCCCCCTGACAGACTCGTGATTCATGCTCGCTGGCTGCTTTTGGTTGTTGCAGGATGCCCGATGACCCTTAGATCCGCATAGCTGATGACACCCAGCCCGGCAGCCTTAGCTCGGCAGCGGAGCAGCGAATCGAGACAATGATAAATAAGAAGAGGACTGACAGCAGTAATCTTAGTAGAACGATTATTGGCTTCTGTGTCAGTCTACCAGCTCAGTAAAGCTCGACAGTGGAAGCAGCCAATTTGCCGGTGGGCCACAGCAACACACAACACGAGCTCCATGCATGGAACATGTGGGAAAGGCTTGCGGTCAAGGTGCCCATCTGGGGAAAGTTGATGGCTCAGAAGGTGGACCGCAGCCCCCACAGAACCCCCTGGCATGCTCAACCAAGCTCTGCCCACAGCATCACTCACTCACACACGACATGTCGTGTCGGGAGACTGATGCGTGGTGCCCTCCACGCTACGAAAAAGCGTCAGGATACTGCTGCATGATTAGCATGTTGAAGCTTCATGCTTGCGCGATGCCTGCATCCCATTCCCAGGAAAAACCTTCTTGAGGACCTTTGGAGCGAGAAAGCCCATGATGAAAGTAACAACCCTGTTTCTGATCCGAAGCCAATCGCCACCATGCACATGTACGCGCCCTGACTGGCCTCCCGGTACCGCCAGCGCTGCTCCAAAGCCAGGAACCCGAGGCAGGCCCGGAATTTGCGATGTATGGGATTGGAAAACTGCTGCAACTCATTCTTCATCACTTGTTGCGTAATTACCGAGAATTGCCGACGTAGGAAATGAAACCTACAGGGATTGATGACATGGCCTGCCTCTGTCCTGGCGACAATAAGAGCTCAACCCTCTCATATGCCCAGCGCAAAGCACAAGTGCTTTCACCAAGGCCTCAGAGCGAGACAAGTTCTGATTTGAAGACTCTGGCTTCGCACAAGCAGTTTGCGGGAAGGGGAAGGATGCAGCTAAGCCGACAGCTGAAAGGAATCCGGAGCAATAGTCATCCGTCAGAGCCTTGGTAGGTAGGGGTTCTCCCGCCTACTCTCATCTGTCGAGCGAACTGCTGGTAGATACATTGGAGCCGGCAGTGCCCGCAGAAGAGCTAAGACCAGCGTCTCAAGCACAGTCAACCCGACATCGCTCATAGCATATGTACATAAATTTATCTGTATGTGTGTATATGTATATCACAAGCAACACGTGCATGCATATAAATAAAAATAAAATATACATAAATATATATATATATAGTCATATATATATAGAGAGAGAGAGAGATGTCACCGAAGGTCCGAGGCCTGGGCTGTTATTCGCCATATGCATTTGCTTGAATACGTAAACCTGTGCCTCGGTGCAGGGTGGGAGCTGCTGTTCGCAGGATGCCGTTGCAGTAGCCACGGTAGTTAAACGTGCTGCTGGGAGCAGTTGCAGTAGCAGCAGATTGAAGTAGTGGTGGTAGTCGTCGTCCTCGTCCTCGTCCTCGTCCTCGTCGTCGTCGCCGCCGTACGAGGAGGAGGAGGGGGAGGGGGAGCAGTGGCAGCTGCGCGATAGTCGTCGCAGGCACCAGGAGTTGTCGTATCGTCGTTGGTGATTGCTATCGCTGAACATGACAAAACATCCTAGTGACGGAAGCAGCATGAGACGAAATGTGCGAAGGATATCAGCAAAGCAACTTCTTCCCTGCTGCTGCCGCGTCATCAACGAAGAAATTCGTGACTCCGTCAGCTTCCCTGACCCCGAAGCCCGCCATCGCTAACCCTAAACTTGAACTCCAAAGTCTAAGATCTAAACCCCCAAGCTTACGAACCGCCCCAAACCCTAAACCCCAAACCCTGCATCCCTCTGTCGCTTGAAGGCCGAGTGGCTCATATCAGAGCCTTCCAGTGCTGAGGTCCTGGGTCCAGTGAGGCTCCAGTGAGGGCTCAGGGTTTTTTGGGGCTTAGGGTTTAGGGCTTCGGGTTTCGGGCTCAGGATTTGGGGATGCGGGTTTAGGTCTACGATTCCAGCTTCAGCCGCCGGCTGAAGTCGGACCAGTCCTACCTTTAACATTCCCCCAACTTTTCTGCCAGTCATGGTGTGTCAGACAGTAGCTTCTCAGAGTCTCAGACCATAGGACTTCTTTGTAGTGGCCCCTTCAGCACCCCTCGAAGGCACCCCCTGCACTAACCCCTAGCAGAAGCCCTTGATGGTTCCTTTAAGTGTTCCTTTGAAGGTTCCTTTAAGTGTTCCCCTAAAGGCTCCCTTATGGTAACCCTGACCGGGTGCCGATCGACTTGCACTCCCGCCCCTTCTCGGATCGGAGGGTGGAGGAGATGCGAAGGCCTCGGAAAGCGTAGAGTTTTGGGCTTTTTGTTATTGAAGCCCCATTTAGGGTTTAGGATTTCGTGTTGGTCACATTGTCTCGAACTTACACCTAGCGGGAAATTAGAAAGCAACAAGGATGCCGATGGGGCGAGGCAACAAAGTGAGGATCACAGGCACATGGGCAGTTCTCTAAATTAGGGTCCCTTGTGGGATTCCCAATAATGTTAGGGCGGCACCCTTTATAAAAAGGGCCCTGAAAGGGTCCCTAATTTAGAACTACCCACATGCACATGAACAAGTGCAAACGCTTGCCGTGACGGCACCTGGGCCCTGACCGATCTGGACACTCTGGCGCACTGTGCTGGGGTCAAAGGCAGGTGCGGCCACCTGACGGCCGACAAGGCCACATAGGGCTTCGAAGTCAGCTTAGTTGTCATGCGAAGCGCTGAAACACACATGGTGCACATGGTTATAGAAAGCATCGCTAGCTTTGACATGTGGGCTTGAATGATTCAGTGCCACACCGACCACAGGATGATGTTGCGGGGTGTCAGCTATGTTCAACTCAAATGCTGAGTAACAAACCTCGCACTCGGACTAGGCAAACAGCAGGTCTGCATGTGTCACAGTGGTGCCAAGTAACAGGAGACAAACATACTGCGATAGTCCTATCCTTGCTCAACAGCCCCTCAACAACGACGAGGATGCGGACCCACGACGACTGTGAGGACGAAGACACGAGCGAGCGGCCACAGCACTCTAGGCTTCCGACAGGGCTTGGAGCCACACGTTTTTGCAAACGCTTGCCGACGGAGCTTCGGGCCTCCCGATGAAAGGATTGACAGCTTCTGGTCTTGGGCTTTGGGAATTCCCTCCCCCTGACCAGCCCAAGTCTTCTGTTTGTCCCTGCTGGAACAGCATTATTCAACGAAGCTAGACACCGTGTTTTGTGAATGTTCCGGCTGACACTTACCTTGGGTTCAGGAAGTGAATTCCCTCAGCAAGCATCTCGTGAATCAGTCTTGGTTTCGGTTGTGGAAGCCACTCTGCTCAAGCTCCAGCCCTCTGCTTGTCTCGTCTCGAGCCCTAACCCCAAAACCCGAAACCCCAAACCCTAAACTCTAGACCCTAAACCCCAAGCACTAAACTCTAGACTTATAGCAATGGCAAAAGAGATGTATAGCAGGAACTACCTGTGAGACTAGCCTCTGCCTGCTCCCAGGGGACTACGGCTTCTCGATGGCAGTGCTCCCGCAGGACACGACTTGGGACTTTCCGAAAATAGGGGACCCGAATATAGTACCCTAAGTAGTAGGACGATCATTTTATCAGGACCCCTTATTTACGGAAACCCCCACTTGACAGGAAGGGAAATGGTCACGGGCCTTGCTGGCAGAGGCAGCTGCCTCGGATGGCAGACAAAGCGGAAGGGGCGAAGTCAACCAGAGCGTTATCCCATCTTTCTCGGAGAGGCCTGACAAGGCAACTCGAGAATGATCACATCTGGGAGGAGAGAAGGGCTACCATAAGGCATCAGGGTAACCATATCCTTGCTATGCGCCAACACCACTTCGAAGACCGAGGCGGATGCGCGGCGGGCGGATCTGGCGGCACGGGGTCGGCTCGCACCTCATCAGGTCGCAAGTCCTCTCCACGTTGGGTTTCGGGTTTTCTGGGCTCAGGAGCACGCTAAACCTTAACCTCCAAACCCTAAACTCCATTTTGTAAGTCCGAAACAGTCCGCGATAAACACGGGCTTCTGAGACGGAGGGCGACGTGAACCGCCAGCCAGGCGGGCACGTCCGGCATGCAGACGCGGAGTGGCCTCAGTTCGAAAGTTCGTGGCTTCGGACTGCAGTTCTGTGGACCACTTCCAGGCTTTCGGCAAGTTTGCTACTAAGGGTGTAGGGCAGCCTCTTTGTGGAAAAGCCCAGGTTCAAGTCACCTCGCACACCTAGCAGTGACGTAGAAATTTGCATCTGCCAGTGCCTTTGGACTTGCTCCGACTTCGTATGCTTTCTGAAGATGAAGGGGTGCCCTGTTCGCGCGGGGCTCCACTGCGAATCTCCTGAGTTGCCCTGCATAAGACCTCTGAACCTTTACGAGAGAACGGAATACCAATGATCGTCAAGAGGAGCCCAAAATCAAGTGCAGCCCTCAAGATCACTGAGTGGAACACGACTGGCGGGGTGGCCGCGATCACGTCAGGGGTAGCAGGTGCCTGAACTCAGAGCCAACACTATGAGGATTGCAGGCGTGCTTGTATCATGGACTTCAACCTTGAGCTGTAGCCTCAGTAGGCTTCGACTCCATAAGGATGTCCGTGGCCGGGGCAGTGATCACCTCCTGGATCACCGCACTCTTTTTGCTGAGTTAAGGTTGAGGGTTTGGGATACCTCGGCCACCTACACCATGACACCACCATGAAAGACATTGAGGGGCTTTCCTTTAGCTTGGTGTCGTCATGACCACGGCAACCGTTGCGCACTTCATGCTGTAGCTTTCTAGAGCTGCAGATCCAGACTCAGCAACAAGGACACATTCTCAGAACTCCGTAGAGCTTTACTAAGGAAAGGATGCAGGAGTGCCACATCAAACGAACACGAGGCCTGGGTCTGTAGAACCAGAACATAAACCCAAAACGCAACCCCATAAACCGAATTATGAGACACACCTTAAACCTTAAGCCACGAGCGGGTTCCCACCCTTTTCTCGCAGAGGAGCCTCAATAGCCTCGAAATCGATCAAGGGGGCCTTCCAGGGAGAATCGGCTGAGTAGGTGCAGGGGGTTTAGGGGGTCCGGGGTACAGGGTTGAGTGTTGGGGGCCTGGGGTTTGGGGCTTGTTGGGTCTGGGGTATGTTCAGGTTCAGGGTGCGGGGTTTGGGGTACAGGGCTTAAGGCCGTCATGTTAATGCAGGACAAGCTTCCCGCAGGCTTAACTACGTTTGATAGATTCTCGTTGTTATCGAGTAGAACATACCTGCCACAGAAGCAAGTAGGAGTTAAGATTCAGGGTTTCGGGCTTTGGTTCCGCTCTTCACATCGAGTAGCCCTCTGTCTAAGAACTTCAGAACCGGCTGCAGGGCTGAACATGATCATAGAAGCCTAGGAAACAAAAGTTCCAAGCAGCCACGCATCGATGCAATCAGATCGCTGATGGGTAGAGCTACAGCACCCTTGCTACACGATTTCGCTATTCCCGATGATTGCTTTCTTAATCTTCTTGAATATCATCATAAGAAGGCTCGGGCCTGCTCCTGTTGAACAGGAGCCGCTGGAGCAGATACTGGGACGGTGGTGGCCTGAGTGTCTTCTCTGGTGATCGTGATGGAACTAGAACGGCTCAGGCACCGTCCAGGGAAGGCCCGATTTGTTTTGGCCGTCGGGTCTTCCCGCGTCTAAATCCGTTGCTGCCCTTCGCTGCTAGATTTATGGATGGATTTTGCTTCAGTGGCTAGACAAAGATGCGAAACAGCCAACATGCGAGGATCTGCCAAACCTCCTGCATACTGCTGCATCTGCCTGCAAGGACTTTGGCAACTATCTACATGGCTTGCCCCTGCATCTCTGGCATGTGCCAATTCAGCTAACTGCGGCTCAGCCTCGGCCGGCACCGCGCAGGAGGCCGGAACGAGCACTGCCCTGCACTGGACAGAAGCCTGCAGCCGTTCGTCAAACTCACGTTCCCTTCGGCAACAGTCTTCTAGATTCTAGCGTCTGCTCCAACCTCGACCCATGGCTTGCAGGGCTTGCAGCGACTTGGGATCCACACGCGAGGCTTTGGCGTGCCCGTGCGCGAAGCAAAGGCAAGGCCTCGGACGATTTTCGGCTGAACTATCTGAGGCCGTGGGGAGCAAAATTCCCCCGGGTGGAGCGTCAAATATGTCAAAGGCTAAGAAAATACCAAAAGCCGCCGGGCCCCGAACAGAGCAGTGCAGTAGCAGCGCTGGCGCGGAAAAGAAGATCCGCCTCTGCTTGCAAAAACCTAGACAATATCCTCTATTGTGTATGCCATTATTTATATATATATATGTTATATATATATACATATATACATATATATGTGTGTGTGTGTATCTTTCTTTGTATTACATACATACATACATACAT